AAAAACCCAGAATTCCATAATGTCTTACCCAGGTCCCCTCCCCACACTACTATCAGAAACCCATGATGGCAGTGAACCAGCCCTCCCTCCCCCTCCCCCACTACAATCAGACCCATGGCATCTTACCCAGCGCACACCCACTACTATGAAAGACCCGTGATGGTTCTGACTCAGCCTAGCTTCCCCCCGCTACGATCAGATGATCAGACCATCAGACCAGTAATAAATTACCCAGCGCCCACCACCTAGCATGGGAGAACCATGGTGTTTTCCTTAGACACCCACCCCCCAAAGGTGGGTCGCGACCTTTTCTAACAGTTTTGACTACTTCATGAAAACGCTAAGTGTTTCACTCGTCTGTCAATGCCTTAACGTTTTCTTCCCTATCTTGTATAACATCACTTTCCTACTTTACTTCTACAAGAGATGAAATAGAACGAAAGAATACAAAAGTAGCAAGTTTCCTCGTAAAACATGATCATGTGCAAACTCACTCATTTTTTAATACGATATCTTAGGGTTAGGGTTAGTATTTTCATATATCTCCCAATATATCCATCAGATTCTCAAACTCAAAATAATCAAAATGTGCATATACGACATTTCACACAGTTCATACAGTTCTCTTAAGAGTAATCAAGTAAAAATACTTATTAGAATGCTGATGCGAACATGGCACCGGAAACTAAGGAAATGCTAGCTGGCCGGGGCTCGCAGTACAATATATCTATATTTTTTCAAAAACTAATACTTTTACAATATGAGGAAAAAAAAGCTGCAAAGGTGTGGTAGATCAATTTCTTTGTATATTTTTGGACACTGCATCATCTTCAGCTATTTTCTTGTGGTTTTTAGTTTGGCAGCTGGGTTGGAAAAAATTGCCGTAAACAACATTTATCAGAAAAATATCAAAAATGTCCGGCGACTGTCGTTATTTGACTCAGCCTTTGTTGCAAAACAAAAATAAAGTGAATTTGTACAGCACGACAACACGACAACATACACCCTGTACCATCACCATAAGTTTGTTGATGATGTAATATCAGGAGCTGTTCAATTCGCCCTGTACAGACCATAAGTGTTTCTCACGCTCGTGTAGCCATATTTGGCATTATTGCAACTGCATCCTTTGTCAGCCTGTTTAGCTTAATGATATTTAAACAATAAAATGAACAAAATGAAACCTACCTTTTCAGTTTTTGTGACAGCGTCATATTAATTCTCGAAAACTTGAAAGTTGAGGGAAAAAACTACTGCTTATTTTCATAAATGTCTCTTTAAGTCTTTGAACATGTCCGTCACATTCTAAAAATATAATAAGTCGCTCCAATTGTCAATTTTTATAGGATGTCTGATGTCGAAACCAATATCCTATCCAAAGGAAATTAAAATATGTTTCACGCTGTTTACATCAACTTATTGACGAAGACAAACGGAAATTAAATGCGAAAGAAAATGTTTGTTTTGCAACATTTATTGTAGGACGTCCACATGTTATGTTCTTGGTAGATTCGAAATCAAGACTGCATGAGTTAGATCTGCCATTTACTTATTCATCAGTTAACAATTGGAGATAATATATTTGTTGAATTTTTGGTAATAAAGAAAACGTTACATTAATTAATAACCGAAACAATTTCCGGTCAAACTAAACAGTTGTCGATATAAAAGAAACCGCGGATGAACTCTTTCATGGACGTTGATTCAAAGCGACAAGTTGGAAGTGAATATCATACTGTGCTAGGCTAGAGACCAGGAACGCAAATGAGAAGACTGATTTAAAGGTACGTTTTTAGAAAGCTAAAAATATATTTTATTCTAAAAATGGAGTTAAATAAAGGCGCGTTATAAAGTATTATACTCAACGATGTTGTTGCATAAACTGTGCGTTAATGTGTTTACATGATGTCTCGACAGGTTTTTATTTTTTAGAAGGCCCTCCCGGAGCCTTTTACGTCTTCATGTAACTACCATGAGTGCAGCCACGTTTGGTGTGATTGCAGCTGCATCGATTGCCAGCAACGCTCTGTTTTGTTTTCTGATGTACAAGAGGCCTGTTTTGTTGAAAAAACCTCACAATATCCTATTGCTGAGTTTAGCTACGATAGATATGATGACAGGTAACATTGTTTCTTGAAATCGAACTAATGTATAAAGACTTAAATGAAAAAAAGTTATATGTTTAGGACCAGAAGCTTAACGGTTTCAGAAATGTCTACATGAAGGGACGTGATCATCCTTAGGAGCTTGGGGGAGTCAGGGGCACAGTCCCTTTTTCCCAGCACTGCGGTAGCAGTTGGTGCAGGTGGTGGAGAGAACTGTCCTCTTCCAGCCTTGAGGACTTCAGGCGGGATGCCATCTTCAGGCGGGGTGCTCTGACAGAAGTTCAGCCAGTAGTCGTTGGCTCAGCGTCAAGAGATTCGTTGAACATCATTTCTGGCTTTCCTGAGTGCAGCGAGTGTCTTCGCATAAGGCTCCCTCCTGTAGTTGATGAGTATTATTATTTTGGCCTCAATTGCTGGTTCCAGGTCGGCAATACTGGCTTCAAACCAATCCGAATTCCGCCTTTCTCTTCTGCCGAAGGCCAAGGTGTCCATGGTAGAGTTGTAGATGGCGTCACGGACGTAATTACTCCTCTCCTCAGCGTTGCCGGCAGAGCAGTCTTTGAGGGAGTGGTCGGTGTCGAGGGAGGGACTGTGGAAGCTGCGTGTGACAAGTAAACAGTGTGACGAGGGTCTTCGAGTGATGGTGAGGTCCAGCTGGTGCCACTGGTGGGATCTAGGTTGCCGACAAGAAGATCGGCGGAGGGGATTGGTGGAGAAGAACCTGTTGGTTATGTAGAGCTGGCACGGTAGATAGGAGCATAACTCTAAGAGCCTTTGTCCGTTCTCGTTCAACTTACCAATGCCGAAGTGTCCGCCGTTGCAGCTGGGCCGGGAGTCGTGATCAGAACCCACTCGGGCGTTTTAGTCGCAAAGTAGCTTTCCTTCCTTTTTTGACTGTTAGCAAGTTCTTTTTATTGATATAAACTATTTGTCCAGGAATTTTATTCAGGACTAAATCGTTTAGACTAGCTTAGCTTTTTGCGGGTCATCCCGATGTATTATGTAACCATACTGAAAGATAATATTGCTCAAAAATTCAAAAACCGTTTTCTGGTTAAATAGTTTAAAATTACGAGCGTTCGATGGACAGTCTGCAATCTAGCAATCACTATACATCAACGATTACAGACTGGCAATTGAAAGCTCGTAATTTTAAACTTTTTTAACCAGAGAACGATTTTAAAATTTTGAATATGTCTTATCTTGGTTAATTTTTACTCGTTAAGAAAAAATATCTCAGAGATCTAATAGATCGTCTCTTTGCCTTTGCAGGGGTCGCTATTTTCGTGACACCGCTGTTTCAAATCACCAAAGATCCATTTCTCGGCAGCTGGACTGGATATATTTTCTGCTACCTGTTTGCAAATAGTTTCTTTGTATTTTTTCTTAGCAAAGCGTCCATCTTGACTGTCACATTGTTAGCCTTGGAACGATGGTTTTCTGTTATACGACCATTTAGGTACAAAGTGTTTTTTTCCAAAAAAATGTTGTTAATATATGTGGTCTTTATTTTCGTTTTAAGTTCTGTTCCGCAAATTTATAGATTCTTCCGAGTTAAATTTAAAGATAACGGGTGCGTACGTGTTTTGAAGCCCGGGCGAGAAGTTTTTGTGTTATGTTACGTCATTGGGACTTTTCTACTTCCGTCATTGATTACCTGGGCTTCTTTTATCCATATTTGGTATCGAATCAAATCATCTCCGTCATTAATTGGCAGGACAGAGCAGGCGCAAGTAAAAGAAAGGTTGCTGTTGCGCATGTGTGCAATAACAGCCACTGTTCTTACAGTTTGCTGGCTCCCCATTCAGCTCTTTTATGTTTTAAGTTCCTTTCACGTTATTCGTGGTCGAAATGGAGCAAATATTTACTTGATATTGTCTATGTCAAACTCTATAGTTAATCCGTGGATTTACTTTCTCAGCAACAAAGAATATAGGAAAGCGTTTCTCTCTATACATTGGATCTGCAAGAAATCTTCGCAAGTCTCTCCTGAAAGGTCAATTCCAGAAACTGAGACTCAGATAGAGCAAGAGAACTCTGTGTAATTAAAACCTCAAATGAATGGGAATCCTGTAAAGACCTGTAAATTATTTTACTAACCTAGTATAGATAATTATCCTGTCGTTTTGCCCAGGGTTGTTGTTCGTGGAACAACCAAAAATAAACTGATATATGTATATAGCTATGTTATCAGGTGCATCAATTATAAACAGAAGTATATTCTTTGAACACCCTGGCAACTCTCCTTTGGAATAAGAATTGGAGACAAGGAAAATGAGTTTGGAATGACAACATACGCCCTGTATCATCTCCAGGCATGTTTTTATTTGTCGATAATGTACAATATCAGGGGTTTTTCAATTCACTCTTGTAATGTCAGCGACGCCCAGTTTTGTTTGGTGATAAAAAATAAAATAAGGAAAATGAAACCTAACTTTTCAGTTTTTCTGGGAGCGTCATATTGGTCCTCGTAAACTTGAAAACTTGACAAACAAAGAGTCGCTTATTCTTATAAATGTCTCTTTATGTTTCTTTTTTTTAATTAAAACATCCGTCAAATTCTAAAATCAGATAAATTACTTTAACGGTGAGATATTTATAGGCTGTCTACTATCGACAACTATTATAACCAAAGGAAATGAAAATATGTTTTATACTGTTTACATCAACTTATTGGCGAAGACAAACGGAAATTAAATGCCAAAGGAAACCTTTTTATTGCAATAGTTATTGTAAAAAGTCCACATGTTACGTTCTTGGTAGATTTGTAATCAATCCTGCATGATTTACATCTCCCATTTACTTTATTAGTTAACAGTACCGAGGTGTTTAAACAAAAAAAAAAAACAAAACAAAAAAGACAAAAACAAACAAACAAACAAAGATTATTAGAGATAAATATCTTTGTCCAATTTCTGGTAATAAATAACATTAATAACCGAAAAAATTTCCGGTCAAACTAAATTGAATTGAAACATCGCGGATAAACTCTTTCATGGAAGTTGATTCAAGGTGGCATGTTGCAGGCGGACATTATAATTAACTACGCCAGAAAACAGCGAAGGATAGAAAACGCGAAGGATAAGACAGGTGTAAAGGTACATTCTCAGAAAGCTGATATATATGTATAATATTAAAAAACTGAAGTTATTTAAAAGAGCGTTATAAACTATTGCACTTTACGGATGTTCTTGCATAAACTATACGTTATCATATTAAACATGATATCTCAACACGCTTTAATCTTTTATAAGACCTTCCTGGAGAACGTAATAACCCTTTACGTCTTCCTGCAACTACCATGAGAGTAACTCAAGCTTTTGNAAAAACCCAGAATTCCATAATGTCTTACCCAGGTCCCCTCCCCACACTACTATCAGAAACCCATGATGGCAGTGAACCAGCCCTCCCTCCCCCTCCCCCACTACAATCAGACCCATGGCATCTTACCCAGCGCACACCCACTACTATGAAAGACCCGTGATGGTTCTGACTCAGCCTAGCTTCCCCCCGCTACGATCAGATGATCAGACCATCAGACCAGTAATAAATTACCCAGCGCCCACCACCTAGCATGGGAGAACCATGGTGTTTTCCTTAGACACCCACCCCCCAAAGGTGGGTCGCGACCTTTTCTAACAGTTTTGACTACTTCATGAAAACGCTAAGTGTTTCACTCGTCTGTCAATGCCTTAACGTTTTCTTCCCTATCTTGTATAACATCACTTTCCTACTTTACTTCTACAAGAGATGAAATAGAACGAAAGAATACAAAAGTAGCAAGTTTCCTCGTAAAACATGATCATGTGCAAACTCACTCATTTTTTAATACGATATCTTAGGGTTAGGGTTAGTATTTTCATATATCTCCCAATATATCCATCAGATTCTCAAACTCAAAATAATCAAAATGTGCATATACGACATTTCACACAGTTCATACAGTTCTCTTAAGAGTAATCAAGTAAAAATACTTATTAGAATGCTGATGCGAACATGGCACCGGAAACTAAGGAAATGCTAGCTGGCCGGGGCTCGCAGTACAATATATCTATATTTTTTCAAAAACTAATACTTTTACAATATGAGGAAAAAAAAGCTGCAAAGGTGTGGTAGATCAATTTCTTTGTATATTTTTGGACACTGCATCATCTTCAGCTATTTTCTTGTGGTTTTTAGTTTGGCAGCTGCGTTGGAAAAAATTGCCGTAAACAACATTTATCAGAAAAATATCAAAAATGTCCGGCGACTGTCGTTATTTGACTCAGCCTTTGTTGCAAAACAAAAATAAAGTGAATTTGTACAGCACGACAACACGACAACATACACCCTGTACCATCACCATAAGTTTGTTGATGATGTAATATCAGGAGCTGTTCAATTCGCCCTGTACAGACCATAAGTGTTTCTCACGCTCGTGTAGCCATATTTGGCATTATTGCAACTGCATCCTTTGTCAGCCTGTTTAGCTTAATGATATTTAAACAATAAAATGAACAAAATGAAACCTACCTTTTCAGTTTTTGTGACAGCGTCATATTAATTCTCGAAAACTTGAAAGTTGAGGGAAAAAACTACTGCTTATTTTCATAAATGTCTCTTTAAGTCTTTGAACATGTCCGTCACATTCTAAAAATATAATAAGTCGCTCCAATTGTCAATTTTTATAGGATGTCTGATGTCGAAACCAATATCCTATCCAAAGGAAATTAAAATATGTTTCACGCTGTTTACATCAACTTATTGACGAAGACAAACGGAAATTAAATGCGAAAGAAAATGTTTGTTTTGCAACATTTATTGTAGGACGTCCACATGTTATGTTCTTGGTAGATTCGAAATCAAGACTGCATGAGTTAGATCTGCCATTTACTTATTCATCAGTTAACAATTGGAGATAATATATTTGTTGAATTTTTGGTAATAAAGAAAACGTTACATTAATTAATAACCGAAACAATTTCCGGTCAAACTAAACAGTTGTCGATATAAAAGAAACCGCGGATGAACTCTTTCATGGACGTTGATTCAAAGCGACAAGTTGGAAGTGAATATCATACTGTGCTAGGCTAGAGACCAGGAACGCAAATGAGAAGACTGATTTAAAGGTACGTTTTTAGAAAGCTAAAAATATATTTTATTCTAAAAATGGAGTTAAATAAAGGCGCGTTATAAAGTATTATACTCAACGATGTTGTTGCATAAACTGTGCGTTAATGTGTTTACATGATGTCTCGACAGGTTTTTATTTTTTAGAAGGCCCTCCCGGAGCCTTTTACGTCTTCATGTAACTACCATGAGTGCAGCCACGTTTGGTGTGATTGCAGCTGCATCGATTGCCAGCAACGCTCTGTTTTGTTTTCTGATGTACAAGAGGCCTGTTTTGTTGAAAAAACCTCACAATATCCTATTGCTGAGTTTAGCTACGATAGATATGATGACAGGTAACATTGTTTCTTGAAATCGAACTAATGTATAAAGACTTAAATGAAAAAAAGTTATATGTTTAGGACCAGAAGCTTAACGGTTTCAGAAATGTCTACATGAAGGGACGTGATCATCCTTAGGAGCTTGGGGGAGTCAGGGGCACAGTCCCTTTTTCCCAGCACTGCGGTAGCAGTTGGTGCAGGTGGTGGAGAGAACTGTCCTCTTCCAGCCTTGAGGACTTCAGGCGGGATGCCATCTTCAGGCGGGGTGCTCTGACAGAAGTTCAGCCAGTAGTCGTTGGCTCAGCGTCAAGAGATTCGTTGAACATCATTTCTGGCTTTCCTGAGTGCAGCGAGTGTCTTCGCATAAGGCTCCCTCCTGTAGTTGATGAGTATTATTATTTTGGCCTCAATTGCTGGTTCCAGGTCGGCAATACTGGCTTCAAACCAATCCGAATTCCGCCTTTCTCTTCTGCCGAAGGCCAAGGTGTCCATGGTAGAGTTGTAGATGGCGTCACGGACGTAATTACTCCTCTCCTCAGCGTTGCCGGCAGAGCAGTCTTTGAGGGAGTGGTCGGTGTCGAGGGAGGGACTGTGGAAGCTGCGTGTGACAAGTAAACAGTGTGACGAGGGTCTTCGAGTGATGGTGAGGTCCAGCTGGTGCCACTGGTGGGATCTAGGTTGCCGACAAGAAGATCGGCGGAGGGGATTGGTGGAGAAGAACCTGTTGGTTATGTAGAGCTGGCACGGTAGATAGGAGCATAACTCTAAGAGCCTTTGTCCGTTCTCGTTCAACTTACCAATGCCGAAGTGTCCGCCGTTGCAGCTGGGCCGGGAGTCGTGATCAGAACCCACTCGGGCGTTTTAGTCGCAAAGTAGCTTTCCTTCCTTTTTTGACTGTTAGCAAGTTCTTTTTATTGATATAAACTATTTGTCCAGGAATTTTATTCAGGACTAAATCGTTTAGACTAGCTTAGCTTTTTGCGGGTCATCCCGATGTATTATGTAACCATACTGAAAGATAATATTGCTCAAAAATTCAAAAACCGTTTTCTGGTTAAATAGTTTAAAATTACGAGCGTTCGATGGACAGTCTGCAATCTAGCAATCACTATACATCAACGATTACAGACTGGCAATTGAAAGCTCGTAATTTTAAACTTTTTTAACCAGAGAACGATTTTAAAATTTTGAATATGTCTTATCTTGGTTAATTTTTACTCGTTAAGAAAAAATATCTCAGAGATCTAATAGATCGTCTCTTTGCCTTTGCAGGGGTCGCTATTTTCGTGACACCGCTGTTTCAAATCACCAAAGATCCATTTCTCGGCAGCTGGACTGGATATATTTTCTGCTACCTGTTTGCAAATAGTTTCTTTGTATTTTTTCTTAGCAAAGCGTCCATCTTGACTGTCACATTGTTAGCCTTGGAACGATGGTTTTCTGTTATACGACCATTTAGGTACAAAGTGTTTTTTTCCAAAAAAATGTTGTTAATATATGTGGTCTTTATTTTCGTTTTAAGTTCTGTTCCGCAAATTTATAGATTCTTCCGAGTTAAATTTAAAGATAACGGGTGCGTACGTGTTTTGAAGCCCGGGCGAGAAGTTTTTGTGTTATGTTACGTCATTGGGACTTTTCTACTTCCGTCATTGATTACCTGGGCTTCTTTTATCCATATTTGGTATCGAATCAAATCATCTCCGTCATTAATTGGCAGGACAGAGCAGGCGCAAGTAAAAGAAAGGTTGCTGTTGCGCATGTGTGCAATAACAGCCACTGTCCTTACAGTTTGCTGGCTCCCCATTCAGCTCTTTTATGTTTTAAGTTCCTTTCACGTTATTCGTGGTCGAAATGGAGCAAATATTTACTTGATATTGTCTATGTCAAACTCTATAGTTAATCCGTGGATTTACTTTCTCAGCAACAAAGAATATAGAAAAGCGTTTCTCTCTATACATTGGATCTGCAAGAAATCTTCGCAAGTCTCTCCTGAAAGGTCAATTCCAGAAACTGAGACTCAGATAGAGCAAGAGAACTCTGTGTAATTAAAACCTCAAATGAATGGGAATCCTGTAAAGACCTGTAAATTATTTTACTAACCTAGTATAGATAATTATCCTGTCGTTTTGCCCAGGGTTGTTGTTCGTGGAACAACCAAAAATAAACTGATATATGTATATAGCTATGTTATCAGGTGCATCAATTATAAACAGAAGTATATTCTTTGAACACCCTGGCAACTCTCCTTTGGAATAAGAATTGGAGACAAGGAAAATGAGTTTGGAATGACAACATACGCCCTGTATCATCTCCAGGCATGTTTTTATTTGTCGATAATGTACAATATCAGGGGTTTTTCAATTCACTCTTGTAATGTCAGCGACGCCCAGTTTTGTTTGGTGATAAAAAATAAAATAAGGAAAATGAAACCTAACTTTTCAGTTTTTCTGGGAGCGTCATATTGGTCCTCGTAAACTTGAAAACTTGACAAACAAAGAGTCGCTTATTCTTATAAATGTCTCTTTATGTTTCTTTTTTTTAATTAAAACATCCGTCAAATTCTAAAATCAGATAAATTACTTTAACGGTGAGATATTTATAGGCTGTCTACTATCGACAACTATTATAACCAAAGGAAATGAAAATATGTTTTATACTGTTTACATCAACTTATTGGCGAAGACAAACGGAAATTAAATGCCAAAGGAAACCTTTTTATTGCAATAGTTATTGTAAAAAGTCCACATGTTACGTTCTTGGTAGATTTGTAATCAATCCTGCATGATTTACATCTCCCATTTACTTTATTAGTTAACAGTACCGAGGTGTTTAAACAAAAAAAAAAAACAAAACAAAAAAGACAAAAACAAACAAACAAACAAAGATTATTAGAGATAAATATCTTTGTCCAATTTCTGGTAATAAATAACATTAATAACCGAAAAAATTTCCGGTCAAACTAAATTGAATTGAAACATCGCGGATAAACTCTTTCATGGAAGTTGATTCAAGGTGGCATGTTGCAGGCGGACATTATAATTAACTACGCCAGAAAACAGCGAAGGATAGAAAACGCGAAGGATAAGACAGGTGTAAAGGTACATTCTCAGAAAGCTGATATATATGTATAATATTAAAAAACTGAAGTTATTTAAAAGAGCGTTATAAACTATTGCACTTTACGGATGTTCTTGCATAAACTATACGTTATCATATTAAACATGATATCTCAACACGCTTTAATCTTTTATAAGACCTTCCTGGAGAACGTAATAACCCTTTACGTCTTCCTGCAACTACCATGAGAGTAACTCAAGCTTTTGCAGCCACGTTTGGTATGATTGCAGCTGCATCGATTGTCAGCAACGCCCTGTTTTTCTTCCTGATGTACAAGAAGCCTGTTTTGTTGAAGAAACCTCACAACATTTTATTGCTGAGTTTAGCTACAATAGATATGATGACAGGTAACATTGTTTCTTGTAATCGAACGAATTTATAAAGACATAAAAGAAATAAAGTTAAATGTTTACAGCCAGAAGCTTATTGTTTCAGGAATAGTAGGAATAAAATCTACTTCGCATATGATTATCCACGAAGAAGTCGGGACCGAGCGACAAACGCACAAAAAATTATAAGTGAGACTCTCGGTAGCCTCTTGTAGGCGTTCAGTTAGATGGGGCCCAGCGCGAAGAAAGGGCTGCAAGCGAAATAAAGGAAAAAGAGTTTTTGTGCTGCGCCCAAACTAACCGAATGCCCGGAAGAGGCTAGACTCTCGGAATTCCAATGCGGAGAAGTCTAGGTAGTAGCAACATTTCTATTCTTTTGATGTAAACTCAGGTTACAATATTTAGATTAGACTCGTGTCATTGGGCAACGGCCAAAGCAGCAAAGAACTTCGTGTTGAATAATAAGCAAAAAGATGGTAGTTAAATTAAACCATTGTAAAACAACGACTTGAAGTAATGCGTAAAGAATAAAAACAACGAAGCCAGAGAAGGGAGCCGTGATATTGAGAATTGCTATAAGCAAATTTTTAAATTTTTAGTCTTTTATGAAAATTTAACCATATTTTGCCAGCACACAAAAATTTTCTTCACTTAAATCCAAATATAACACTTATTCATGTGTAATAAACAGTTTTACTCTCACTGATTATGCTTCTTTTTATTGTGAGTTGGATTCATTGATATCTTTTGATATTTCAAAGAGAATTACTCCACGGAAAGAACAAAATATTAATTGCTATAGTATGCGAATTTTCCGCCTATATTGCTACATCCGAAGTTTTTCAAAAGTCACATTCAATATATAATATGTATAATTTGTAATTTGCTGCTTGCAATAATGCATTTTAGAGCTAATAATTGTTAAACTCGAAATTAAACCCGGATTAATAATCTATATTAATATATACCATGCCATATGAATATATACACCTTAGATACCAACATATAACATGAAACGCTTTGATTAAATATGGGGGCGACTCCTGCGCTGTCTGCTCAGGGGCCAAGACCATGTCGGAACAATTAGAATAACTGGTTGTAAATACCAATCTCTCTGATGAACACTTTTGTAATTCTTCTGTCCTTCACTTTTTGACTGTTCGCAGATTCGTTTTATTAATATAAACTTTTTTATCCAGGTATTTAGGACTAACTCGCCTAGACTAGCTTAGCTATTTGCGGGTCAGACCGATGTACTATGTTACCATGTTTAAACATAATTTTGTTGTTTAAATATTTTTAAGTATCTAAATAAATAGTGATCGTTTCTTTCCATTTCAGGAGTCGCTATTTTCGTGACACCGGGGTTTCAAATCACCAAAGATCCATTTCTTGTCAGCTGGACTGGATATATTTTCTGCTACATGTTTGCAAACGGTTTCTTTGTATTTTTTCTGAGTAAAGCGTCCATCTTGACTGTCACTCTGTTAGCCTTAGAAAGATGGTTTTCTGTTATACGACCATTTAGGTACAAAGTGTTCTTTGCCAAAAAAATGTTGTTAATATATGTGGTCTGTATTTTCGTTTTAAGTTCTGTTCTACAAATTTATAGATTCTTCCAAGTTAAATTTAAAGATAACAGGTGCGTAAGTGTTTTGAAGCCAGGGCAACAAGTGTTTGCGCTATGTTACGTCATTGGGACTTTTTTTCTTCCGTCGTTGATAACCTGGGCTTCTTTTATCCATATTTGGTATCGAATTAAATCATCTCCGTCCTTAATTGGTAGAACAGAGCGGGCGCAAGTACGAGAAAGGTTGCTGCTGCGCATGTGTGCCATCACAGCCACTGTCCTTACAGTTTGCTGGCTCACCACTCACGTATTTTATGTTTTTCGTTCTTTTAACGTAAGTCTTGGTCGATATGGAAAAAAGATTCCCTTGATGTTGGCTATGTCTAACTCTATAGTTAATCCGTGGATTTACTTTCTCAGCAACAAAGAATACAGGAGAGCGTTTCTCTCTATATATAATATCTGCAAGACTGAATCTTCGCAAGTGTCTCCTGAAAGGGCAATTCCAGAAACTGACACTCGTATAGAGCAAGAGAACTCTGTGTAATTAAAACGACAATGAATGAGTAGCGAGGAATCCTGTAAATACCTGTGATTAAATTATTTCACTTACATATAGCTATGTTATCAGGTACATCAATTATAAATAGAACTCTTGTTATAAATACATTAGAATCCATCAGTTTCAGCTGTATTGTGGATTTTAGCTGCTAAAAGATAATCTGAGTTAGGAAATGTTTTTCTTTAACTGTTAAATTATGAACGAATGTATTTATCTCCATTGCCACGTCATTCTCCATTATTTGGCGGATTTGACTAAATAAAACCAGATGTTGTAAATAATTAGTTAGAAACCAGGGACGTGCAATAAAACAGTCATAATCATTCCTCAAACTACAAAAAGTGTTATTTTATTGAAATTATAGTTTTAAAATACTTCTATAGATATGGTAAGACGGCTTCCGATGACAATATGTACCATCTGTTGCAACTTTTGGTACGTTAGTCGCTCTAACACCGTAGCAATCCACTGCATTTGAAGTTTAATTGATCGAAGAAAAGTCTCATACTCAAAATACTCACATGTAAGCTTTACACTGAAAAGGGTGGTGCAAATTAAGCAATATGTCCTGTGAACAACCCGGCCACTATCCCATGGAAGAACATAGGAATTGGGCGTTACCCTGGTAAACCTCCGAGAAACTGGAAGTAAATGAGGTGATGCTTATAACCGGTCTACAATTAAGAGGAATGATGTCTCCAGTTAAACAAAGGAAAACATCTTACATTGTATTATTAGTTGTGAACTTTATTATAATAACCAAGACGTTTTATTCAATGAAGCTTTCCCCATGACGGCTCTTAAGAGGGAATGTCCACTAGGACCGAGCCATATCGAAAATATGTGGCACATGGTGCAAATTAAACGATATGTCCTACATGTATGAACAACCCGGCCACTATCCCATGGAAGAACATAAGAATTGGGCGTTGCTTGGGTTTTCACCCGTGACGGAAGGAGCAGACTGAGACACCGCGGGTTCTAATCAAAGCAGTGAAGGACATTCAAAACAGCTGGTCTCTGTTCGTCCAAAGCTTCTCGTCTTTGCTTTGAGGGACACCCCTATCCCTAGCGCTGTTATGTTGTTGTTGCACATTAGTATTGTAGCACAGCTGTTGTTCTGATAGTTTGCCGACTCTCCCTTGGAGTCACGTTGACAATTTTTAAAATAATTCACATGATACATAAGACCAAGAAGTCTAGAAGTAATGTGTCGTTGTAGTGTTGCACAGTAGACAACGTATTTAGATTCCAATGTCAGTGAAAACGTCTCGAAAAAAGAGAATACCCCACTAGGAAAACTTGCAAACCGAAATGCTGAGAAAGGCCTGGTTTTGGGTGAAATACCAACACTTGTAGCTACGTCATTGGTCAGTCGAAACCTGCAATCCCACTTATCAACAGCCAAACACGTGACCTCCGAAATCGACACTTTTCCCAATGTGAAGGGTGCTTATCTATTGCTGAGGATACATCAGAGGATTCCCCTGGTAAACCTCCGAGAAACTGGAATTGAATGAGGTGATGCTTATAACCGGTCTATAATGAAGAGGAATGATGTTTCCAGGTAAACAAAGGAAAACATCTTATATTGCATTATTAGTTGTGGACTACATTGTAATAACCAAGACGTGTCATTCAACGAAGCTTCCCCCATGACAGCTCTTAACGTTTTGTAATAGCTTATACACTCTTTCGTTTATTTCAAAGGGATCTGCTGAGATCGAGTCACTGACGTAAATAGTCTCCGTTCTCCTTGATATTGTTATGCTCTTCTGTAAAACCCTTCACTTTTCCCTTGTGCAGAGCTTGTAGCTTTTTTTATAATTTGTAACTTTGTGATTTTGTTGTTTCACAAGGCTTTTCTTGAAAGTTATCTAACAGGTCTCGATGTTCTTCTTTGTTGGTCTCTTGAAAATTGTCTTGGATAATTTGTTACGTTCGTTTAATTTTAAGGTTACGCCAGTTCCATTTTGTTCGCTTATCTTACAATTCCTTTGCATCTTTTAAACTATTCCAGGTATCATCGTCGACATAATCAGGCCTAGCTATAAAGGAAGTACTTAATTTCCAAAAAAAGCCCTTTACAGCTTCTTTTAATTAATTTCTACTAGACCCAATATTATAGACAACTCGTCGATTTAACTACTGTAGCCAGAATATCATCACTCGTGACTAGATCGTTCAAATTTGTGTCAGATCAGGCAATAACCAATTCTGCAAAAAAGGCGAGAAAGACTGGCTTTTGCTCAGTTCATGTGCAGCTTCAGTTGCCGATACAATGCTGATAGGAGGAAGAACAATTTGCACGACAGATACAATTATCATTGAAGCTGAACAAACACGAAAACAAAAATTCAATTTAGTTTTTAATAAATACACTCCAGTAATTTGAGCTATAGGCCTAATCCTGCGGTTTTCGACGCCATCTTGACGGGTGCACAAAGCGGTCAGAAATTACAGTGTTCGCATGGGAATCCGCTGGCAAATGACTTTTTCAAAACTTGAATTTTACACTAATTTGTGAACCGCAACGTTAGAATACTAGGTAGAAGATTGTACTCACCAATTTTGAAGGAGGTAGCTTCGCTATAAAAGACGCTCAATGTTTTTTTTTTAATTTTCCATACGTGTGTCTCTAAATCTGGCTGGGTACACCTGATTCGCGGGGAAAAAATGTAAGCAAATGTTTGGGAAATTAAAAGTTAACTGAGCGTCTTCTAGCCCAGCTAAGTCCTTCAAATTTGGTGAATATAATCTGCTACCTAGTATAGCAAAGTTGCGATTCATAAGTCGTGCAAAATTCAATATTTAAATATTTGCCATCCGATTCCCATACAAGCACTGTAATTTCTTACCGCTTTGCCTACCCGGCAAGATGGCGTCGAAAACCTTGATTAGGCCTATTTGGTTCGGTTCTAGTAAATTTGAAAAAAAAAAAAACTGCTATAAAAGCCCCATCTCATTGTAATGAGAATAACGGAATATTGTTTTTGTTTTGTTTTGTTTTTTTTAATCACTTATTGCAGGTGTTAACTGGCAAAAATTAAGTGTCGTAGTTTCATTAATAACGCCAGTAAAAGAGAACATGGGACGCAATAAAACGGCATTGATTTGATCGAAATGGAAGTAGTAAAGCTTCTTTGAAGAATGTTAAGTCTTAGAATGCTTTTTAAAGTTATTTAACTTCTATACGATTTAAGACGAGCTGTCAGCTCAATTTCAGTTTAATTAGCATGTTGAGAGCGAAGTCTTCTAGAGAGGGTTGCAAACCATTAAATTAAAGAGAAAGATCTGCTGGCTAGGCTAATCCAAACTTTTAAACACTTGTAAAACTATTCTTAAATACAAATACATCGTAAATATGCAGCAGAACATCGTTTTCTCGGATTCAGTTATCTCCAATTTCCAGCTATCTCTATCTCATTTTTTCAGTCTTTTATCTCGAACCACCGACGTCTCGAACTACTTATCGTTTCGACTCACGCCAGGGATAGCTGTTTTCGACTGTAAAAAAAAATTATCCGTCCCCGAGATAACAGTTTTGCAGCCGATTATTCACTCCCTTCTAAAGCTCCGAATGCTATTATCTGACTGTGTGGCAATCATCGTTATCATTATCATTATAAAACCAATCAAACAACAAGTCGGTATGTTACATGCTTGAATAAAAACAACGTCGATCGTCATAAACAACAACAACTATACATGATGTGCAATGACATAAAGACGCAATCTACCTGAACAATGCTGGAGTGTTAGGGGCACATGACGATTTAGGAGCAAGACTCTATGACCGTTCTTTTTTCATTTTTTTTTTTAATTTTAAAGATGACTTCTTGGTATAGTTATTCATTGCCGCATTGTTGTAGAGTCTCGGTGGGTGGCTCATTGTCATAGGTGCCCTTAACACGGTAGCACGTCGTCATTTAGAGAAAAAAAAAAACGTTGTCGCTTTTGGGGAATCATTCTTCTGTATTTACATTCTGATAATTTCATCTCCAACAGAGCTTTTTCTAGCACAAAGACACCGAAGCGCACTTGTGATAAGTGGGTGCTAACAAACGGTATGAATTTGGACATTACAGAGAAAACAATGGTAAGCTCTAGATACCAGCACCGTTGGGTCAATGAAATCGATTTTACTGCAAATTTAAAGAGGTCTTAAAAAGCATAGCATTCAACAATTCTAAATTGACAAGCACCTGCCCTGAGATTTCCAAAAGATGCCGATTATTTAAATTACATTACTGGGGTCACATTAATGACACCTTTAATTTATTCAACTAAATTCATGTGGTGGGCAATAAGCCCGATTAGGTGGGTTTTTGGACTAGGACTTAAAGTGACGGGAATTTCGGAATTCACTTTAGAGTATAATCCGTTAATTCGAGGACGCGTCGCTTTTTCAGAGCGCTTCTTCCTTGCTATTATACAGAAAAAAAAAATTATTCAAGGAGAAATTTTGACTTCTATATTCAACAGCTGACTGTTAATTCATAAAATTATACTCCTTTAAGTAAGATGTAGAGATTTTTCCTAGTCCGCGTAGGATCGTCGGGACACGGGACACGAACAAAACTGCAACGCTTTCCGAGATGCGGAACATTTCAACACCAAACCCAGACAACGGCGAAGAGAACTCTGAGGTGAAGGCTAGAGAGGCGATGTTTGCAGTAATAGCAGCTTCGTCGTTTTTGCTGAACTTTCTGTTCTGTGCGATTATGACGAGAAAACCAAAAATGCTTAAAAGACCACACAACATTCTGATGTTCTCATTGGCCATCACAGATCTACTCACAGGTTTGTCAGAACTGAGCTTCATCTTTGCTATAATTATTCATAAAACCTATTTCATTAATGTCTGTCTTCTTATTCAGCACTCGACATTAGCTGTAAACATAAAATCATACTCGTAGCTTTTGTCACTCGTTCATGTGGTGTAGGTGACTCCATTACTTTTGGGCCTAAAATCTAACTAGAAAAACCAAAACGATAAAAAAATTTTAAAATAGTCCCACAAGCGAAAAATGGTGAAAAACAGATGGTATAGTTTCGAAAATTCCTTTTTTTCAACATATATTTTTCTGATTTTTTACTTGGCTGAGATTTCAATGATTGAGCTACATAAGAAGTACATTGCAGTCCCAAAACTAAAGCTGCGTCAAAAACAGCCTGAAACCTCGCTACATTGAAGATGTCCTGTGACGGCGAATCTGGTGGTATAACTGGCTATCTAGATTGAGTTGTTACTCTTTGTTCTTCTCTTTAACCGAGATGTTGTTAATCTGAAAATGTTGCCTGAATTTAGTCTGCTTGGGTATTTTTAAAATTAGCCCAAGCCAAACGCAAATACAAATAACGGAACGGAATGAAATGTTATTGCTGTCGCTTATTTCACACAAACCAGGTTTCAACTGCCTCACTGTGTTTTTTCTCAGCTTACCGGGCTTAAAATGATCTTCGGTCATGCTGACCGGCCAAAGAATTTCAACTCGGTCACGTCTCGATTCTGACTGGTTAAAAGATTGAAAAAGTATTGATGGCATGAACCCCAAAACATCATTTATTTGTTCCAGTCGTTTGCTAGACCGTTTGAAAAGTGGCTTGGCAGCGCTCAGCAGCTCAATGAAGCCCCATGCTGTCAGTGGAATTCACGCTTGCTGCCATTTTCTCAGCCACGCTGACCTCTGATCTTTGTTTCGACATCAAACTCAAAAAACGAGGCAGAGCGGAAACTTAGCAGGATCAACGATGTCAAATTCATCATCCTTGTTTAATCGTCTGTAATGTTCATTGGACGAGAGATTTAAAACTAGGCTGTAATATGTAAAGTTAACTTAGGCTATAAGGCTCAGCCTGACAGTCTTTTTAATCCCTTACGGGGCTGCAAGGGACTTAAAATTTCCTTTACCTACAGCTTGATCATAAATTATACAAAAAAAAGCGATACACTTATCTGCTTTATGTGTAACGACTAGGGTATCTAAAAGATGACAATGCTGCGACACATTCTGTTGATAGTGACATATTTTATGCAGTGATTCATCTACAACTTCATGCATGATGACGCATCGGATGGCGAGGTGTGACAAGCGATCTTGACAAAAAAGCACAGAGTGATCTGAACTATGCAAGTGAATATATGAAAGACCATATACTTGAACTGCAAAGAAAGATATGAAGATATGATTGATTATCGCAGTAGTACACACAACTTAAGCAGTTGTGAAATTAAAGCCTGAAAAAATTCAGGCCTGAACGGGATTCGAACCCATGACCTCTGCGATACCGGTGCAGTGCTCTACCAACTGAGCTATCAAGGCAACCGGGAGCTGGTCACATTGTAAGTTCGTAATATACCCGTAGATGGTGAAGAATGCAAGTGAATATGTGAAAGATCATAATTTATATTTAAACTGCGGAGAAAGATATGAAAACATGACTGATCATCGCAGTTGTACACAAAACTTAAGCAGTTGTGAAATTAAAGCCTGAAAAAAATTCAGGCCTGAACGGAATTCTAACCAATGACCTCTGCTAAAAGTCGCGTCTTATCATGCTTATTAAAACTTGACAATATAAAAAAATCGCACCGTGCAGTTTTTGAATGATAAGTCCCTAAAGCTGTTATTAAGGGTGTTTTAGCAGGTTGTTCCGTTACTGCGGTAACCTATTATGTCTCCAAATTGATAAAAATGTGCTCACCAATGATTGGGCAGTGTTTTGATTCCATGATTGTAGCATCAAGTGATAAAGACTGAGTGGTGATAACTTCAAAATCTAACTGCTGTAAACTGTTTTGAGCCACCTTAGAACTGATGCATACATTGTTTTGAAACCCCTGCCGTCATATTTTTTTGGCATTATTTTGCAGAAAGCTTTTAAACTTTAGTATTTAATCCCTTGGGACTAAATTTGGTTTTATCTTATAATAGTTTCCAGCCTTTTGTTTTTGTTGATGCTTCAATTATGCTATGGAACAAATACCTGATCATTTAAGAACATCATGGTCGTTTTCGTGGGGCTACAGATTACCATAAATTAGGACCCGTTAAAAACACCCTTAATTAGAGCCTATGGGCTTATAACTTAAAAAATGAGTCAGGGGACTCCATTTTTATTATTAAATGGTGATTTGCATGGTAAAATGCAACATTTCGTAACAGTGCTTATTGACATTACCTTCAATCTTCGAGCCTTGACTATTTAATTATCAAGACATGAGTCAGTCACGGCTAGTGCATGTTTATTAACTGTTCCAAATACTTATTCTTTCTTTCTTTCTTTTTCTCGTTACTCTTTTTAAGAAAAAAGTTGTAATGCCAGGGAAAAGACACCAATGACCGGGCATTCGTGTGATGCCATCACTGCGATGTGAAATGAACTGTAAAGAGTTGCTATCAAAGTAAAAGGGCTGAAACCTGTTGGAAACTGTTACGAGCTACCTTCAGGTCTAAATTTACGTTGCTCGTTTCTCAATTGGCAGGGTTTTTTTCAGGAGCCGGATATTTAGTTGTTACCTTTCGCTTTCACGAAGATCTTTACACATTACTATTTATGCCGTTTGAATAACTGCATGTGTAATTATTGTATAACAATGCATTAAGGATGAGCCAATGATCGCCGTTTTTTTTTGGTTTTTTTTTCATCATCAGGAATTTTCCTTCTTCTTACACCCGGCTATGTCATCAGCATCGCCTCATTTCCAGTACCGCGTGGTTTAGCTGGCGAAGTCTTCTGCCGAGTCTTCACGAGCAGATACGCACTCTTTACAATGGGAAAAGTCTCCATTTTGAATGTCATGTGCCTGGCTATTGACAGATGGTATTGTATTCTTCGACCAATGGCATACAAGCGCTATTTCACCCGAAAAAAACTCTCTTTGTACATTCTAGTTATTTGGGTTTCTACCGGTCTTCTGCAGATAAACAAGTTTTTCGAGTGGAAATTGTCGGGGAGTAAATGTTCTAAAGTAAAAGCGCCGTATGGAGAAAAGGGAACTCAAGCAATGATCATTATTTACAGTCTGATGGGGTTTTATGTTCCGTGTTTGATTACCTGGGCTTCGTTTGGCCATATCACACTGCTGTTCAAGACAACGCCAATGGCAAGATGCTACGGTGAGCGACAAAGAGCCCAACAGAAAGCTATCCTGCGCATGTGCGCTGTGACGTCAGTAACTCTGACACTTTGTTGGCTTCCAGCTCAAACCATTTATATTCTTTCACCATTTGGTATCACCAAAATTGGAAGTCCTTTACACAGGACCGGGGGAATACTGGCTTTGTTTAACTCTTGTGTCAATCCTTTGATTTACTGGATGACCAACAGAGAGTACAGGACTCTTCTGGTTGAGCTCTTCAAATTTGCCAAAATAAAACCTTCCACCAGAGGAAGCTATACGTTGGAGAGTCAAATGCGTTAGGCAATTCGACCTCGGCAAGCCAATTAAGTGACAGAAACTGGAATTAAAATTTGTGCCTGTGGCGCTGTTGCCGTGGTACATGCCACAAGTCGACCTCATGAGTTTCAAGATGGAATATCAAAGCAAGTGAAAGAAAGTTGCGAGGTTTTAGATGGATAAACAAGATAAAGGACTTTTCTGAAAGTCTATTTCCTTGGCTAAATACCTTAAGATTGATCTAAATAGCAAACACAGTATGATGTCGAGATCGTGTTCCTATTACCGGGATCTCCTATGGAGTTCAAGTTTAATTATAGAGATCTTTTAACTTTAGTCTTTCAATGTCTTCCAATGAACGTTTGATCTGTATTTTAAATTTGCTAGACTTGGTTGTGATAGACATTCCTTTTTCAGAAGGTGGTTTGCAAATGGGACAGCTTGCCAAAATTATAACCTTTTTTATGCAAGATAAATGAAATCTTAAATTTAGCATCAATGTAGCTTTTGTTAGAGGAGTTTCTTTTCCACAGCAGCTCTCGGCTTTTGCAATGAAACTCCCTTTTCAAATCTATATGGGCATTTGTTACTATTGATTTTTGTTCATGAATTTGAGCAAATATGTATAGTACGGCATCTCTCAGTTTTAAATATTCGGGTAGATAACTTTCTCAGGAGCTGTCTCGTCTACGGTTAGTGGATAGTAACCTCAAACATGTCCACAAATCAGGTATTTAAGCGATAGTTTATCAGAGCTTGCATTGGAGCTAAAGGCGGAGGTCAATAGGAACAGGAGAGTTGCATGCTTGCTGAGATTATCCGCCTTTAATTAGCAGAAGCAAGTAGCTACATCTCAACAGATGAGAGCGGGAGTATATGCAATCCTGCAACAAGTTATAAAAAAAAAAATAAGTAAAAATAGCGGGTCACAAGATAGCAAGAGTCACACGAGGTAACGCGCGTGGAATATTGTGAAAAAGCCACAGGTCAACAAAAAGCATAACAAATTGAAGACTACACATTACGAATGGATTCCACGCCTGGAAATTAACACGAATGGGATCGCGAAACCAAAACACACGTTAATTTAGAACGGAACACGTAAAACGTCTTTTATCTTTTATTTTAACTGGCTGCTAGGCATTTTTAACTCTCAGGTTATTTTGTGTAGCCAGCTCCCCTATCATTTTTGCCTTGACATGACATTGTCAATTATTGCTCTCTTTTAACTCTGGGGTAAAATAAGTTTGTTGTTGTTGTTGTTGAGCCGAAAAATGGGTCATATGGAGCTGTATGCATGGGTAAACGATTTTTCACTCAGTTTTAATTGTTAATATTATATATACTGAATATGTGGTCTGAGTTGCCCTCGAGAGAGTGCTCAACAGTAATGGAGCTTCTTCTAAAAGAAAATGGACTGCACTAGTTCTCGTTCATTTTACTCGATCGACAGAACTGTTCCGTGGGAGTGTTTCCCACTCGTCAGGATCTAGATGACAACGTTAGTTAGTTGGTTCATATAGAGTTTCCTTGAGGTCACACGTGCTTTCACAAATACTAGGTGTTTTTCAGTAAGAATTTGTTCGCGTGCCTAAAAGTGATCTTTTGTTAATAGGGGCTAGCTTTGGTTTGCATATCATGTAGAACTTTTGTAGAGTGCACAATTTGCATCTTTAGTTGCGTTGGAGTATGACTGCACCCTGTCCAGGATATTTTTATTTTTCACTTCCGTTGTTTCGCGACGCTAAATATTGTAACCGCAGAAAAGGGCTTAAAAACAAGAAACGTACTCTGAATGACAGGGTGGTTGTATATAACCCTACCTATAACTCTTCTAATATTAACATCAAGGGAGTTATTCAGAAATATCTACCAACTATAAATCTACTTACACGGTAGCTAATCTATGTAAATAAATATTTTTGAGGGTGGATAAACGTTAATCCACCCCCGAAAATCAAAATAATTTATTTATTTTATCTTGGTACCTGTACAGTCTTTACGAATTTCCCCGGAACACCTCGCCCTTCCGGGATTTTTGCGTTACATAATTGTGTATATATATCTCGCCTCGTGGTTCCTATATAAATAAAAGCCAACTTTGTAAAGATCTTTAGTTGAGACATATCCCTAAAGAGGTTTGTAGTATCAAACGAAACGCGTGGAATCAATAACTCAACTCAAGCTGTTTTAACCTTGTGCTGCTCACGGGATAACCATTAAAAAATGTAAAAAATTAAAAATGAAAATAATAAAAAAAAATAAATTTAATAAAAAACAAAAACAAAAACAAAACATTGTGAAAAATCCACGAGTCGAGTAATTAACCATGAACATCTAAAATTAAAAAATATATATATATTACAATATTTAGAGAAGAAGCCCCATCACCCTTAACTGGTTTTCATGTGCTTTCTCTATCTTGGTCGAATTGGAATTTAGAGTGTTGGCTTTTGTGGAGCGAGAAAACCGGAGAACCCGGAGAAAAACCCTCGGAGCAAGGTGCGAACCACCAACATGATACCTAGCAAGAATCGAGCCCGGACCACATTGGAGGGAGGCAAGCGCTCTCGCCACTTTGCCATCCCTGCTCCCCGAAGGTTTGCGAAGATTTACGTTATATGAATGGCGTCTTCCCGACGAGACCCGCTTGAGATCTCGAAAAGAAAAGAAAAATAAGCAGACGTTAACTAGATAGGGAATACTGCTTAAAAAACAGAGAAACGGATAAATTTGTCCTGTGGGGAGGATTGTTTTTTTTTCGGCGTGTGAGCACTGTAGCAAAACTGAAAGGATATAATTATAGCCCACATCCAACACGGCGGACTTTGATTTCAAAATGGCTTTCTANGGATTGTTTTTTTTTCGGCGTGTGAGCACTGTAGCAAAACTGAAAGGATATAATTATAGCCCACATCCAACACGGCGGACTTTGATTTCAAAATGGCTTTCTATTTTGCAGATCGAAATGCGTACATCTAACAGAGGCTAAAAGAAATTAGTTGCGAGGATTTGTTTTCGGGTATGTGGGTGTATGGCCACTGTGGCCAAATTGCACTCGAAATCATTTGATTATATACCTATACTATAACAGAACTTACTCGATTCTGAGTAACACCAGCGCAAATCAAAACGAAGATATTCGAAGTTAGTTAGAAGCATTCAGAAATATTGAAAGTTAGTCAGACGGTCATCCGAGGTCTTGTTTCGTGCGTGTTCAATGTTCACCTGAAGTCTTCGGAAGATAGCCAAAGATAATTAGACGTTAATTTCCGTGCAATTCCGAAGACCACCCGAACCCTTCCGAAGATTAACGAGTATTACCCGAACATTTGTAAACACCTCCGACAATCACCCGAACCATTCCGAAGATTTCTGAAGAACATCTGAAAACTACCGAAGAACACTCGACATGCTCGAAAATTGCCAAAGCCTTCCAACATCAGCAGAAGTTTTTTTTTTTAAGTTTCGGGAATTCATGTACGACAAAGACCTAGAACTGAATGCTGTCAAATGATTAGTGTCGTTGAATTTGGAATAAATAAACACTTCAAAATTTAGTCGCTCTTATTAATTCCAAATTGAGGTCAAAACCATGTGATTACCTATACCCGCGTGACTAACTTAGTGCAAACGGCAAACAACTACTAAAACTAACCAATCCCACTGTTTTATTGTCGATCAGAGCGATATTTTGCAAGCATTGGATACATACATACACTTTATTCATACACAGTGGAAACCTGACTAACAAGATTGGGATAAAAATGCCTCATTGCCCAGGTTTGCCTTCTTAGCGGAGGAAAGCGGCGTCTAAAAAAACTTCAAGACGTGAGGTAGTNATTGTGAAAAATCCACGAGTCGAGTAATTAACCATGAACATCTAAAATTAAAAAATATATATATATTACAATATTTAGAGAAGAAGCCCCATCACCCTTAACTGGTTTTCATGTGCTTTCTCTATCTTGGTCGAATTGGAATTTAGAGTGTTGGCTTTTGTGGAGCGAGAAAACCGGAGAACCCGGAGAAAAACCCTCGGAGCAAGGTGCGAACCACCAACATGATACCTAGCAAGAATCGAGCCCGGACCACATTGGAGGGAGGCAAGCGCTCTCGCCACTTTGCCATCCCTGCTCCCCGAAGGTTTGCGAAGATTTACGTTATATGAATGGCGTCTTCCCGACGAGACCCGCTTGAGATCTCGAAAAGAAAAGAAAAATAAGCAGACGTTAACTAGATAGGGAATACTGCTTAAAAAACAGAGAAACGGATAAATTTGTCCTGTGGGGAGGATTGTTTTTTTTTCGGCGTGTGAGCACTGTAGCAAAACTGAAAGGATATAATTATAGCCCACATCCAACACGGCGGACTTTGATTTCAAAATGGCTTTCTATTTTGCAGATCGAAATGCGTACATCTAACAGAGGCTAAAAGAAATTAGTTGCGAGGATTTGTTTTCGGGTATGTGGGTGTATGGCCACTGTGGCCAAATTGCACTCGAAATCATTTGATTATATACCTATACTATAACAGAACTTACTCGATTCTGAGTAACACCAGCGCAAATCAAAACGAAGATATTCGAAGTTAGTTAGAAGCATTCAGAAATATTGAAAGTTAGTCAGACGGTCATCCGAGGTCTTGTTTCGTGCGTGTTCAATGTTCACCTGAAGTCTTCGGAAGATAGCCAAAGATAATTAGACGTTAATTTCCGTGCAATTCCGAAGACCACCCGAACCCTTCCGAAGATTAACGAGTATTACCCGAACATTTGTAAACACCTCCGACAATCACCCGAACCATTCCGAAGATTTCTGAAGAACATCTGAAAACTACCGAAGAACACTCGACATGCTCGAAAATTGCCAAAGCCTTCCAACATCAGCAGAAGTTTTTTTTTTTAAGTTTCGGGAATTCATGTACGACAAAGACCTAGAACTGAATGCTGTCAAATGATTAGTGTCGATGAATTTGGAATAAATAAACACTTCAAAATTTAGTCGCTCTTATTAATTCCAAATTGAGGTCAAAACCATGTGATTACCTATACCCGCGTGACTAACTTAGTGCAAACGGCAAACAACTACTAAAACTAACCAATCCCACTGTTTTATTGTCGATCAGAGCGATATTTTGCAAGCATTGGATACATACATACACTTTATTCATACACAGTGGAAACCTGACTAACAAGATTGGGATA